TATTCCTAGGTGGCTGCAGGAAAGCTTGCAGCCTTGGCCCTCTACCGCTTCTGCCCACACATCCTCAGGCAGTTGGGGTCCCCTCCCCAGCATCAGCAGGCACAGTGGGGTGCACTGTGACATGCCTGAGATCAAGCCACCACTGTTTGAGAACTATGCGCTCACTTGGGCAGTGGGGGCCCCTGGAGATTTTGACAGTCTCCAGATACTACCACAAGGTTATCATTTACCTTGCAATGGAGGCTGCTGCATAGGAAGCAGCAGAGAAGAGGTTTGCAGTGGGTGGGGAAAGCATGTCCCACTCAAGCCCCTGGAGGAGCTGGGGACTCGGGTGGTCTTCAGCCCTATCCCCCTTAGGTCCCTAATTGGGCCATCATGCCCTCCCTGCAAAGCCTGGGGAGAGTTCTGTCCCTGGTCACCACTCTCTGTGGTGGTAACCCTTAATGTGAATGGTTGCAGGATGGGTCTCTGCAGGTGTCTGGTACTCTGGTTTTCCTGCAGGAGACCCTTACAGCTCCAGCTGCAGCAGCCAGCTGACAGCTGGAGTGGGAAGACAGTGTCTACTTCAGCCACCTCACGGATACGTACTTTGGTGTGGCTAGCCTGTTTCCCTAAGCCTGTAGCCAGAGGTCATTCTTGCCACTGAGGTAGTGCCAGGCTATCTGCTGCATCTCTGGTACAGGCGCTTATCTTCAACCTGTGCATTACTTGGAGATGACTCATTTCTACCAGTACACGGCCACTTCCCTTGGGACTCTGAGCCCTCGTGAGTGCCTGGTCCTCTGTAGGGATTTAAACATCACTCTCAAGCTGCAGGACCACACTGGCAGGGAGTGGAGCCAGGCTGCTGCAGGCATTTTTGGGAGATAGTTATGGGCAACTACCTGGTGGACATCTGGCATGCCCACCATCCTGACAACACCACCACCTTCACCTTTGTCAGGGTGGAGGAGTAATGGACACCCTGAATTGTAGAATTGAATCTACATAGTTGAATTGAATCTACAGGTCCATGCTAAATACCGCCCAAGTCCATGCCTCCTGCACTAGACTGGCCCCCCTTCAGTGACCATCATCTGGTATGCACTCTGGTCACTGCTGCCTGAGCATCCAAGGCTGGCATTTTAGCAACAGCCTGCTGGAAGACATGGACTTTGCGGTCACCTTCCAGCAGTTCTGGCTGGCCTGGTGCAGGCAGCGGCAATCATTTCCCTTGACCCAGAGATGGTGGGACGAGGAAGGTTTGTGTCAGGCAGTACTGTTGCTTCTACATTGGGGGAACACCTGACAGATGCTAGAGAGCAGCTCAAGAGGGAAGTACAGGAGCTGGAGAATTGCCTGGCTGCTGACCAGTCCATCTCTGTGTGGGGAGTGTTGAGAGGAGGGAGGAGCTTTGTGTTCTGCATGACCGCTGCACCTGCAGTGCATTCATCTGCTCGTGCATTAAGCTCCTTTGGGAGGTGGACTGGACTGGCTTCTGCTGCTTCTGTGCTCTAGAGAAGAGGAGGGGTGCCAAGAGGTACATCACTTGTCTCCTGACAGAGGATGGCACCTACCTCACAGACTCCGGTGAGCTGCAAGGAAGGGTGAGGGCTTTCTATGCAGAGCTCTTCTCATCATATCTGGCCAATGCCGATCCCTGCCAAGTCCTGTGGGAAGGTGCTGTCATAGGTTTGCCTGGTCAACCAGGACTTGCTCAAGGGTCCTGTCACCCTGGCTAGGCTCTCGGATGCTTTCCATCTGATGCCCACCAACAAAGCTCTGGGCATTGACAGATTGACTGTGGAGTTCTACTGTGCCTTCTTGGATGGCCTCGACCCAGACCTAGCTGGGGTTTGGGCTGTGTCTGAAAGAGATGGGGAGCACCCTCTGTCATTAAAGAGGGAGGGGACCCCAACTGCCTGAGGATGTGTGGGCAGAAGTGGTAGAGGGCCAAGGCTGCAAGCTTTCCTGCAGCCACCTAGGAATAGCTCCAGCTGCTAAGCTGAGCAGCCCTGCTTGCAGAGATGAAGGAAGGCTGAGCAAGAGGGGCACCGGCTAATGAGGCACCACTGCAGGTATTGCTAACTTGACTTCCTTTGTAGGCCCTTTACCCTTCCCACCCCCTGTGGAAGAGGAAGAGGACCCCTTGCCCTTTCCCCTGCCCTGGTTGGGTTTGGGGGCTCCATGGCCCCCCTCAGAGAGAGACTGACCAGGGGGGAAACCCCTGCAAGATCTTCCCCAGCATACTGGCAGCCCCCTCAAGGGGCTCTTGCCATTACATGGGAGACTTGATTAGAAGCAGCGGTGGCGGGAGAAAATATTATAGGGGTGCAGGGCTTGTGGGTGCATGGCAGGATGCAGGGGAGTGGTGTAGAGCCACCCCTCCCCTTCATGCAGGGCTGGTGCACAGCAAGTGCACTGGGCATGCCAGTGGTGCTGGAGCAGTGGAGCTTCGTTTGGGGGGCTAAGCCCCATTAACCGCAGCCTTCTGCTACCTATGGTGGAAGGGATCAGGTGGGGTGCAAGGGAGGGAGCTGCATGCTCCTCTCTGCCTGGAAGGAAGGAAGTGGCTTGCTGTGGGGTACAGGGTGCCTCCTCTGGCTGTACTGGGGGGGAGCTGTGGGGGAACATAAAAAGACAACAGGGACATATGAAAAGACAAAAGAAAGGGAAGCATGCTGCTGACTTAGCAGATCACAAACATCAGGAAAAAGGAAGTGGAGCACAAGACTTGCCACAGGAAGCGAGACACAGGGGTTGCTCCTAGACCAGCTAACAGGCAGGCATTGCTGGTGGCATCATTGTGGGGTCCCCTTTGGCTGCAGGTGGCCCCAGTCATGCAGTGGCAGTGAGGCAGGAGCAAAGGGGAGGGGGCTATAGGTCCAGCAGGAGGCAAGGGTGGGGAGAGCAGGGACCTGCAGCAAGCAGCTCCTCTGGCTCCTGCTCCCTGGCCCAGCTGCAGCATCTGGGAGGGGAGGGCGCCCCCTGGTGGCCATATGAGACGGAGCAAGATGGAGCTAGGGTCTGACCCACGAAAGGGCGGCTCCTCTGTTCTCAGTTCAAGCTCACAAGGGCCCGCCTGTTTTGGTCACTTTACTAGCCTCAGCATCACATTGCAGGCTCATGTTCATCTTGTGGTCAGTGATGACCCCCAAGTCTCTGTCTTCCGTAGTGCTAGCCAGC